GGAGAGTGTTAATGTGTATATTTGTGTATTTACTATATTAGCCTTAGGTTCTCTTTAGGTAATCGCAGCCCTAATTTTGTGTATATATTCTGATTAATAGAGAGTTATATCATCCAATTGAGATGATCTTTCCCACAAATTACATCTTGTGTTTTTCGTATCATGGTATCAGAGACAAGTTCGATCAAATTTTTTTCTGATAAATTTGATAAAGTTATTCTCTTTCGATCGGCATATGAGAATTCTGATCCTAAATTCTCACAGTCAATTGTTCATCTCTGATCGATCTCGGATTTAAAAAAAAAAAAAATCGCAAATTTCAGCCCGCTGCTGTTCATCTCGTCCGATTGTTCGCACAGGCTCCCGTCCGCACAGGCCCTAGTCCGTTGTTCGCGGGCCCTCGTCCAATTATTGGCACAGCTCGAGCCATCCTCCACGTCCGCAGCCGCTGCTCGTGTTCAGTCCGGCCGATTGAGTTTCGGTCATCCTCCCTTGATTCTCTGAAGTGTGTTTCGGTAATCCGATTGAGTTCAGCTTGGGAATTTGGCTCTTGCTTTTAGTCGATTCTTAGCGGGTAATAGCAATTTAGCACTCGTTCCCAAAAAAAAATAAAAAATAAAAAAGAAGAAAAAGAAGAAAGTTTACACAGGTTGCTGCTTGTTTACATTTTGTTCGAGAGGTGCTGCTTCATTTTGAGTGGAACGAAAATATAAAGGATTTACTTGATTAATTCTGAGCCGGTGATTATTTGGTTCATTATTTGGACTTGATATTTGTGCTAGTGCATTTTTTTCAAAAAAAAAAATATTATGGTTGCTTCTTCAACATCTGATTTCGGCACCAATGGTGATCGCGGTTGTAATTCTGGTGATGCCCACTGTGGTGGTTCTCGTGCGAATGCGGCGTTCTCCAGTGGTTCGTTTGTTGCCGGTTATGTTGGTTCTTTCACTGCTAGTGGAGCTTTGAGTGATTCTGATCATCTTGCATTTGTCGGTTTAACCAATGAACAATGGTCTCACTTTGTGTTTTTGGTTAATTCAGCTAAACAAGATAATTATTTATCTAGTACGCGTGGTTCATTTGATTGGATGTACGACAGTGGTGCAACTCATCATATGACAGGGTTCCTGGAGTTTATCTCTGATGTTCGAGATATTCCCGTCTGTCCTGTTCA